AGCAGATGCTCTACCACTGAGCCATGCCCACTCCCCATGGCCCAGCTCCGTCCTCCTTTCTGCTACCAAGCGGGAGCTGCCACCACAGCTTTTATTTAGTTATTTATTTACAATCCTCCGAACCCTCTTTTTCGAGTGCGGCCAAATGGGAGGCCGAACGGGAGCCACTGAGGGGAGACATGATTGAGGTTTATAAGATTATGCATGGGAAAGAGCAGGCCCATGGAATTTTGATACCTGAGCAAATTACACACTTGGCGTCTCCCTGTGTTAACACCAGCCAGGCCGAAGCTGAGCCCCTGTGGCAGTGCCTTGGCCCACAGGGGTGCCAATTATGGGCTGGGACATCCCCGGAGATTTGGGGGTGGAGCCCGGGGAGGGAGTGGTTTAGGGACTCCCCAATACATAATCATTCGTCAGTCTCTTATGCCACTGATCTCTGTAGTCTGGAAACCAGTTGTAATTCTGGGAGGCATTGGCATCCCTATATTGGCATCCCTTGGTGCTTGGGGGGGTCAACAGTGGGAGGGCTTCTAATGTCCTGGCCCCACTGGTGGACCTCCTGATGGCACTGGTATTTCTGGCCACTGTGTGACACAGAGTGTTGGACGGGATGGGCCTTTGGCCTGATCCAAAATTGGCGTCTCTTATGTTCTTATGTACTGAAATTGCAAGTCCCGCTATTCTAAAATACAGCCAACCTTTCCCACCCACAACTGAAGCAATCGATTTAGAAGGGTCTGAAATACGTACCAGTGGACGAGACAGCTTTCACCTCTAAGCCGGCATTCGTGGATAAATTCAATACTTTCTTTGAAGTGTCTGGCTCTAAACATCAGAGGAGAAGCAGAAAGGATGTAGTAAAATCCAACATGGTGGGTTAGAGGTTCACACAAACACACACAAACACACAACCTTTACTGGCATAACAAGGAAAGATACCCCCCCCAAAAAAATCGACAAATTTGGGTCCCTTCCAGAAACATGGTTAAACTCCATAATGCCAATTTTTTTTTAAAAAGGCGATCCTTTTTTATCAAGAACTACAGACCGATCAGTCTCCTATCTATTATAAGGAAACTTTATGCCAAGCACCTGCTAAGGAAACTATCTGCATGGATGGCGGACCATAATTTTCCCAGGAAGGAGCAAATAGGCTTTACAGCTAACCACTCCACGGTTGATCACTGCATCACACTATCCTTTTTAGTAGAAAAATACTTCCAATACTACCCTAGAAGTAAGCTATACGTGGCACTTATCGACCTTCGCAAAGCCGATTCAATCGATAGACAGCTTTTGTGGGACAACTTACATAAATTAGGCCTTGACCAACGTCTACTGTTTCTGATATGCAAACTCCATCTTTTAAACGCTTGTCATGTTAGTGTTGGATCCCTAAGCATCGAGAATAAATCCACGTTTCAAAAAAGCAAAATTTATTTCAAAGCTTTGGAAAGATACTCAAACAAGTCCTTTGTTAGGAATGGGTACAAACAGACAGGGCAGATATAATAAAGGGATTTGAACCAGGTACTGAACCAATGGATC